TACTCCTATCCATGAGGGGAAAAAATAAGAAAAAGTTTGGAGCGGAGTTTGAGAAATTATATTTAGAAATTGCATTAAATCCCAGCGCAAATTACGCGAAAAATATTCGTTTTTTAAAAAAATTGTACATGCCCTGCCACCGTCGGGTCGCGAACCCCAGGAACTCCTGGAGAGGCATTGCAGTGACATCAGTTGATATCCTGAGCCACTTTCGCCGGCTGTGTATTCGTGGTATGCCTTATATTAAAGAATATTCGAAAGAAGCCCAAATATTGAATTGAATTTCATGTTAACTGCTCCTAAATTTGTAATTAGTGGAAATATTTTATGGTTTCTGATTTGAGCCATAATTGAAAATTCTCAGTTATTGCAAAGTCGGACAGTGTTGATCAATAGCTTTGGAAATCTGATGGTATACAAAAAGTGTCGATTTGTACTGGGAAAGAATGTTTCCCAAGGAGAAATAGTGTATTATGAGTAAATATGAGGCTCGCCGATTGTCTTCTAGTTACGCCAGGGTTTCGGCACTCGTTGCTTCCGCGTTTTACGTTTCGTCGGAGCGACGGACATCGTAATGTGACGCCACGCGACGCCTCAACGCCCACGGCGATTGGGCGAGGGTCCGCCGCGCACGTCAGCCAGTGCGTTGGGGCCGGATATCAGATCGGTGCGTGTGGGGAGGCGCGTCTCTTGTTTACACGCTCGCGACCTCGTGTGCGACCTGGGCGACAGCCCAGCCACGCGCCTCCTCCCGCCTGCGCCACAGGGGCCTCCGCGGCGCGGCGCGGCGCGGCGCCGCGTGCGCGCGTAAACAAATACACGGAAGCCGCCTCTTCGCCCGAGCGGATTTGCGCGGCGGACAAGACAACGCACGGCGTTCAAACGTGCTCGTTCTCACGAGGCAAGCAGTCTGTTTTGAATTTAGGATACCACGCGAATTCGCTGTCAGCGAGTTACCTTAGCAGATGATTCAAATACAAACACTGTCATGGCCTACATAATGCTGTCTACATTTCGTTGTGCTCTCACGTCACTGAAGTTCGCAATGGGAGTGAATGTGTAGGAATGCGTTCCCGCTCTTAAACGTGCCACTGGTCAAGCTTCACGAGACCCGATAATTGGTTGAATATGAGGAGTCCCGGTGCTCTGCTCACTATATTTTCTCACGTTTGAGGATTTGCATAACCTCTTTGAAGAGTTGCCAGACAAATGAAATATTCCTATATTCCTAATATTCTCGTCATACTACTTACGTAATAAAGTGGGAGTATTGTAATGCTGCAGACGAATAAGGAGATTTTTAGTCAGAAAAACTCGTACTGTGGTACCCTGATATCGAAAACTAGATAAATCTTGTTCCTATGTGTTGTGAATTACTTCCATAAGCACGTTAGTAGTAGTAGAATCGACATCTTGTGAGAATCCACACGCGTGTCTGTCCCACTGTGATAGACGCTAGCACCTAAAGATATTTCATGATTTTCTCCAAAATTGATATTCCCAGATAAATCTGACTGAGTTCGAGACCCTGCGAATTTGAAACGGATATTTAAATTTTGGAGGATGTTTTCCACGAAGTCAGAAAGTATTTTCAAGTTTTCCCCAAAAAGGGTCCGAATTTTTAATTAATTTTTTATTAAATAGGACAAAGAAACCTTTAAAAATGGGGGTTTAATTTAATTTAGGTTTAATTTTCTTTGAGCTTTGCAATTTCTAAAATAGGAAAAATTCAACAACTTTTTGGCGTTTTCCTACAACTATAAAATGGAAAATAGAGATTTTTTTCTTTAAGAAAAGCTGTTCTTCAAAGACATCTTAAAATAATTTCATGAGAAAATATTGTTTAAAAATGAATTATTCAAAAATCATTTTTTTCAAACTTTTTATTTATTTTTTTCTCGTATTGAACACAAATACCCCCCAAGAGAGTTTCATGTTTGTTGAACTCTTTGAATTTTCAAAAATCCCAAAAGTTACAAATAATGCGAGAAATTATGAGCTGTTGTTACATCACTAATTTAACGTTCATTGTTGTTATTTGAAATAAAAACAAACTCTTTAGTGACCTTAAATACGGGATTTAAAGAGTTATTTACTGAGGCAGTTGAAGCTATGACATAGCAAAATATGACTTTGATGAAAATACTTACCATTGCCTTACTAGATTCTGGGGAAAGCTTCTTTGAGACAAAACTGTAAATTAGAAATCGAACACACTTCATTGTGTATTATTAAACAAGAAAGCTCTTGAAGATTCTTGAAAAAGTGTTACACGTTTTACTCTACCTTTCTCTTTGGACGTATTCAAACAGATATATGAAGAGTTAGTAGCTGTATCTTTGTGACTTCAATTGATTTAAAGCCTTCCTGTCGTGGTTCTTGTTCTTTGTAAAGCATATAGTTTGCCTTCAGGTGTGCAGCTGCCGCGTCACATCATAAAGAACCGATTCGGTCCACGGGTGTGAAAGGAAGATTATTTGCCGGCTGACTCATTAAAAAGACGTCTTGCTGAGAAAGGGCGGACAAGCAAACACATTCTTTGGCATGTGTATCTCAACGAAAGTTGGCGATTCTTCGAATTGCGTATTCTTGAAAAAAAAAGTATGAGTTCTTAATTTTATATTATTTCCGTACATTACCGTCCTTTTCTTGCCAGAATTTTTATGAATCCTTTTTTCACTCAATGCTTAAATATGAGAATTATAAATGCAACAGTTCAGTTGATATATTTAGGATTCATTATTCATTGGCGTAAATATTATAGAGTATGGTTATATTCTATTTATCACAGTGTACCTTATTCAATCCAAGGTTTAGATGTGTTGCTCTTTTACATGAGCTACTGTAATTAAAATAAATTCAATAAATAATTTTGTATAAACTACTTATCTAAATCCGGGAATGCATATTTACTTCTTAAAATTTATTTTTAAATTGACTAGCCGAATTCTGTGAATTTTTATTGCCAAGTGTTCTTTATGATTTGATTTGGTGGGAAAACAACTTTGATATTTCCGGAAGAAAAAGGGAACGTCAGTTCTTTCTCAGATGTCAATTAATTGTATCTAGTTTCCGGTGCATGAGAATGGCTGAACATCACACCGCATGAGTTCTAACAAAGTGCAGGATGTAACAAAAAAATTGTCCCTCCTCTATGTATGTCTGTTTTTGCCCATCTCCGTGACAAATTTTCATTTACGGGCCCCATACTCGAATTTGATACGTACAATATTTCATTTTGTGGTACCATTCACGAATGAGCGATGTACATTTGATATTCAGCGCTCCAGAAAAGTCTCCACGCAGTGGCACCTTGCTGGTAGAACAGGCTACAGCTTGTTAGAAAAGAAAACGTAAATTACTTACTCACCACAATCATAAGAGATAATGGAAGTATTGTCCCCTTCATTTCTTTCCAAGTGATCTGGTTACTTCCAACATAAATGCAATTTTTAATAGCAGGCCCTAACCCGACTCGGCGCAGAGAGACTTACCTTACGTTCTATACAATTCCTAAATGAATTTTGCTTTTATACTTGATGTTATGAAACATCTTGCATACTACGTGTTAGTTTTAAATATTTTTATTTTTTTTCATTTGCTTTGAGTTGAGAAAACTATCTTTTGAAACAAAAACCGATATTCAGACACTATCCAAACTACGTATTATAACTAACTTACAAAGAAACGCGCGCCAGAAGTTTATATAAAAATATCTGTTTTGATTTTTATTACATTGAATTTCCTGCGCATCGAGTTATGACTATTTTCTGTAAAAAATTAAATAAGGCGATTTAATACTACAGACAAATATAAAAGAAATATAATTAATCCGCGAAAAATAGAGTATTGTCTTCATCTCTATTTAGCACCACTAAACCAATAAAGTAATATATAATAGATCCGTCGGATAGGAAATCAAAGTCAGTTTGCTTTATTCTATATTATTTTTAGTTCTCATCATTAGCTGTAAAATCATTTCATTTAAGGAATATCGAGTAAACTGTGTTATTGTACATCCGACCTCAATGAGGAATATACATGTTACTTGAGATCGCGACCGAAGTTCCTACAGAAAATCGAATACAACCTGGTATTCCGTCGCTGTATCAGAGTGATGAAATTGGAAATATTGTTTAACGGGAATGGAAGGGAAAGAGTGCAAGCTGTTCCTGGTATCCTCTAACTATTCTTTCCGGCATTATTTCCGGCTGTGTTTTCCGGTATGCCAGCTAAGTGCTTCAATAAACGAGACGTCGTTATTACTCTAGAAACCTAGGAAATCCGTAGATGGTGAACGTAAAGCGGGAAATTCGATGAATTGAACCTGCAAAATAATTTTTGAGTAATAATATGACGTTGCGAATTTATTTGTTTCAACATTAGCGTTTAAAATTACGGCAAAATTATAAGCAGAAGTTTTCTAGTTTTCTAAATTTTCAGTGATACAAATTGTTTAATTTTAGCCTAGAAATCGTTTTTACTAACATTATATACTTTATTTGTATACATTGTCTTATTAGGTGAGTAAACGGAACTTTATAAACTACAGATATTTATAACATAAGTGTCCCTTGATGATTGGCGTAAGATTATTTTCTTATAAGTACAGATTTGAGATAATAATAACATGTAGTGAAACGTAATTTTGCCGACCTTTGAATCTCTTTGCTGTGGAGGTTTCGTTACAGTAAGTGTGTTGTATGTCGTAGTGGAATGGAGTAGCATTTCCGATGAATTTGAGAGCCTTAGTACATTAGTGTGCCCAAGTGGCGTTGCGGGGCTTGCGACGAGGTGCGCGGCGGTGCGGCGTTCACGCGGCCATGGACGAGGCGCGCCGGGCAGGCCGTGGCCCCTGGCCGATTATCCAACTGTGGCGCTCATTGGCCGCGGGGCGCTATGAGTGCGATTGCACCGGCGAGCGGGGCGGGGCGGGGGGCGGGGCGGGGAAGCAGGGCGCGCCACGTGCTCCTCGCAGTGCCTTCAGAGCTCTCTGCGCTGTCGGTACTCAGCTCGCCTCTCTGGTCGTCGTTGTCAACCCTCGTGCTGAAGCATTGGGCGTTTGACCTCTGCGCCTGATTCTTTTTCGGCGACGCGATTTAGACTCGTTTTGATCTGAGGTATGAGTACTTGTTTCTTCCCCTTCCCGTCTTGTTGCATGCCACCGCCTCCCTGAAGTATTGCATGAGAAAGGTTCGTTTCGCTTTCCCTTAGTTACTGTTTTCTCTTTACTCCACCATCGTTGTTCCCAGACGGTACTGGAACTGGAGTACTTTTAGGTCTTCAGGTTAGTAGTCAGACAACTCCGTGCATGCTACAAAAGAATATTGCTCCAGAAATCTACTTCTGAAGTGCCACGTGCAAGTAAATATGTTTGCTTTCGACCATCACCAGATTATAACGCTTGAATTTGAGTGGTCATTGCCATATTCAACATAATCGTATTTTCCCATCCCTATAACTCACCTGTAGTGAAGGACTAACGCGTGAACGTGTTTCGACCGCATAGTGAAAACGTATCTTCTCATGTGGTGAGCGAATACGCGTTTTTAATATAAATATTTTATTAGCAAATTAATCTTAATTATCAAATTATTATAATTTGTATGAGTGTACGCTACACAATATTTTAAAACTGGTTAACTTTCGGTGATATCGTTTTTGCTCACGAAATGTAGTGTATTTCAAATCAAAACATTGACACGCTCGAATATTTTCGAAATAAATGAAGAAATATATCTAAGAAACAGGCAATTTTTACTCGTAAAAATTGTATTAATATAGTTCACAAGAGCCACGTATAATGACGTTGTAAAACACTTTCCCTTCTTACACAAAATAAACAAATTTGCTCTGGCTAAAACATTTTTCCTTCAAAATGGCAATTTTAAAATGCGCCACTTCTCTTGTTCATCAATATGCTGTTTGAACAATTGTAATATAACAAACAATGTAGTTTTGTAAATTCTTTACTAATACTAACTAGAGTTTCTAATAAATTTGTTTGAATTGACTCTTTATCTTTCACAAGGAACAAAATTAAGCTATTATATCAATAATCTTTATAAATGCGTAAAAAAAATAAAGTGAGAAAGAAAAGTTGAAAATATTGAAATATTTTTAAATGCCATTCTTGATAGGAAGAGTTTTCTCCCGTTAGTAAGGTCTTTCTATTATCATGTTTTTAATTGCTTTATTTATTAAAATCGTATTATCCTCCTGATCATTAGCATATGATTTGTCTGGCCTAAACGTGTTCTTACAAATGAGTTATGGATTGGGTGTATGTAATTCATTAAAAAAGCCTGGTTGAGCAATTGGCATTTACTGTTTATAGTGGAAGTTTACTTTCTTAATGATTATGTTCAAACCAAATATAATAAGAACGTTGGTGATCTCGACAAATGTGTTTCCTCGGGTTGTTTTCATCTTGCCCTGAAAACTTGGAATGTTATCAATCCCTTGGCTCTGTATTATGTATTTGAGTAATATTTAGAACAAATGCGAATTTTGGTCTCATTTCAAATAGATTTTCAATAGATTATGTTCTGCGAAATTGCAATCTAGTTTTTTTCTATTTATTTTCACGCAACCCTCTCTTTGTAAAGCTTCCCTGAATTTAAAACTTTAGTTTGTAATTCACTGCAATCCCAGCCTGTTGATGTTACTGTACATGTACCGAAATGTGAAAATAATAATACAATTTTGTTAAAAATGCGACTTTGTTACGTATTAAATATTTTAGAAGTCAGACAACGTTTCTAGGCTATACGAAATGTATTGATACAGCATTAGTTTCTTGATCAAAGTCGATTGAGTATGGCTATTAATTGTGTAACTATTAAACACCGGATGGGAAATAGACTTCAATATTTTTTGTAAATGACCAATTTTGTTACACAACACCCGTGTTATTCAACACGCCGTGTATTTTCGGCTGCGTAATGAATCGCGCGCAGTTTCCGCGTGTTATATCGAGCGCCACTCGAATTAACCGCGTCGGCGTCCTCCGGCCGCTGCCGGTGCGGCGGGGCCACGACCCAGGGCACGGCAGAGCAAAGCAAAGCAAGCAACGCCCGCGCGTGCCAAAGCGTGCCAAAGCGTGGCGGCGCGCGCCAGCGGCGGCCGCGTCCACAATCGGAGCACGCGCCGCGCACGCCTCCTCAGCTGCGCCCGTCGCCCGGTTAACTTTAGGCCCCACCGCCGCCCATTATAGTCCACCGGCGAGGTCGAGCCCCTGCCCCCCCCCCAACCCTCACGGCGGTGCGCTCCTTCGCCGAACACGCTCTTATTTTAATCTTCGCTGCGATCTTACTTTCAGGTGCTTCTTCTCACTCTTCTTCGAGTCTTTCCTCTTTCCGGGTTTCTCCCTTTTCCTAATTCATTACATAAGCTGCTACTCGACGACGGCGAGTATTTATTGTTTCTTCTGTTTCGTAAATTAATCACCATACAATGCAAGTAAAGTTTTTTTAATCAACTGTACGCATGTGACAATTCAAAATATGCAATATGATTATTATTGAGTATAAACTTTATGAGTTCACCCAAATAAAAATGTATCAGCATAAATGAGATACTTACAAGATCCTTTAAAGAGAGTTTCCAAACATGCAATTGTAACATTTACATTGTTTTCAAATTTAAGAATAATTATGTGTATAAGGAGGAATGCATTGAGGCTTAAGGTTAATCCAATGTAACACAAAACTTAGTGAATCCAAGATTGGGTTGTCGAAACTCGAATCGTTTTTGGGAGACAAACATTCGAGAATACGAATATTTCATTCATAATAAGTCTTATAGCATAGTGAACGATTTTTCAATACATGAATTCAAGTTTTGTGTTCAAGATGGAGGTTGTCTCAAAGGAGTAAAGCGCTGCGTTAGGAAATACAATTGACACATTGATCAATTCTGTGATTCAATCATACTCAAATACAGTATAAAGATTTTACTTTTCAGATTAAATTTACAGGGACATTTCCGACGATAGTAAAAGTATTTCTGAGTGAATTTATATAGAAGTTTACAGACCTTCGTGGTGTTGTACTACTTTCGCATGGAATCGGGACACTCGTGGGAATGAATACTGATCGGTATGATAACCTTTGCAAGGTACAACATGACCGTCGACGAGGTATGTTCTTCTGTGAGCCAGAAGTCGCGTTTACGGAGCCTTGGTGTAGCTGACAGAAAATCTTTTCTGTTTCTGTATGACGGATCTTGATGACTCGCTTGAAGGATTGCACCACATGCAAGGAGCTGTCACATGGCACACACCATATTTAATGCAGATAGTTCAAAAATCTATTGAGAATTTCGTCGACAAACGCTTACTATAAAGACAAAAATTAAGCTTTGTTCGACTTAAAATGTTATGTGAATGGAAACACTTTTTAAAACATGATAGCTACAGGTATTACAGTGACACTAAACTGCCACTCCGCGCTTCTCGACATCAGTGCTAATTGCCGTCAACTGACTTACAGTTCTCAGAAAGGGCTCTTTTCTAACAACTGCAAGCATCTTCATCGCACGTGGGTGATGTCCTCCTGAGCATTTCCATGTATTGCTCTGTGCGAATATTATGCTGCAAAGAATCAAATTGCATGTATTCTACTAGTATGGTGAATTAAATGATAGCATATTATTTTGCAACTGTACATATTTATATTATCAGTCTAAAAAATGTAAATTATTCTAAAAGATAACCGGCATATGCGATTGTTAATCAGAAAAATCTCAGTGTTTCTTCACAGTTGAAGAAATTTGAAATCTATATAAAATGAAATAGGGCAATTAAGCAAGGGTAGAGTTGTAATGTCGAAATTGGTTTACGCTAGTGAATGACGTACCCAAAGTTCGCCCATTCGTAAGAGAAAGCAACCTCGTGTAAAAAGAAGAGAAAATTGTAGTGAAATTACGAGTGAAAGTGTTTCCACTCAAAGCAACAGGCGGAGAGGAAGAAAGAAGGAGAGGCAGTGGACAGATGGAGAATGAAGGAGAAATAAAGCAGTGTGTGGCGAAGAGCAGGCAGAGCAAGCGAGCGTGCATGCTGAGAGGGTTGTGTTGGAGAGAGAGAAAGCGAGCGAGCGAGTCTGTGTGTGTGTGAGAGAGAAGGAGAGATGGAGGAGGAGAGAGCAGGCGGGAGAGAGGCAGGTGCAGTTAAGGGGCCCAAGAAGAAGAGGCAGAGCGTGCATGCTAGTTTGTGAGAGAGGGGTGTGTGGGAGAGCAGAGATGGAGGAGGCTGCCGTTGCAGGCGCTGCGGCAGCGGAGCGACCGAGGGGCGATGGTCATCATGAAGCTGGGCGCGGCCGCCGAGGGGCGCTGCGAGGACCTCGAGCCCGAGACGCTGCGGGAGAAGGACATTCTGGTGAGTGCCACCTTTTAAGGACCAATGACTAAACAAAATGACAATGAAATTAAAATTGAACTTTGCAACTTTAAAAGCAAACATAAATATAATACATGCACGTATAAAATGAACTTCAAAATAATCTTCGTCTGCATTTCGACGAGCCATTTTAATGCTTAGTATGTCATTTAGAATTTGAATGAGATCTATTACCTTTTTATATCGTACATTTGAAATAATATTTGCATTCGAAACAATGTACAATTTTTTAAAAAGATGCTGATTTGATACTGAAAAATTGTTGTTGCTAACGATTTGAAGTTGGGTTACTTCATTTTCAAAAGCTGTACCATTCCTATTATTTACGTTTTCAGTAGTAATTTAGAACTGTGTGTGAACTGAATACATACAGATGAGTTGAATATTAGAAACGTTACTTCTATTAAGATACAATTGTGAAGAATGATTAGCGCAATACGTTCAGGAGTTAAGAAAATAGGACACAAATCTTGTAAATAACTTCACGGTTTTACATAACCTGTAGTTAGATCATTGATTGAATATAGAAGTTGTAGAATACCGATAATATGCTATTTTCCGACATATGCACATAAAACATTATCGTTCTCTAAAGTAGCAGGTGTTAAGAATCTAACATTCTGTAGTTTGTTTTGTGTTATATGGAAATGTAAGGCGTCTAACCACGAAAATGTTCATTACAAATAATAATTTTTGCAAACAAGTATTCACTAGAGAAAATTACATTAAAATATATTATTATAAATACTTTCTAAATTTGACGTTTAGTCAAATTTCGTATTTTTTTTAACTGTTCAGTTCTGGTAGTTTTTTTCTCACGCCGTATTGGTTTTAGCTTTTGAGAGATATATTGACACTAAATCGTCATTCTAACTCTCAACATCTTTAGGTATCTCCTTCATCCACTGCGAACGCTTGTATAATGAGTCTCCTCTCTCGGCAGTGAGCTTGCGACCAACCCCGCGATTGGCAGTTGGTGAAAGCTGCATCTGCGAAAGTTGCTCCTTCTCAATTCTTCTTTCTCCTCCGCCTCCACTTCCCCTCCGCCGAATCACGACCTTTCTCTTCCACGCTGAATCTGTGCGAAGGGAAGGTCAACCATCACGTGTCTATCTGAAATTAATGACTCGTTTTTGTTTTTTTTTGTATTCACATTAAAGTATCTATTCTACGCGCTCATATGTTAACTTTTAAACCTTTTTTAAGAAAATTTCTTTAAGAAATTAACAACCTCCGGAAATGTTTCATTCTCTTAGATAATTATTAGTAGCAAAGAAATTGATTGCTTGAAATTCCATCTTTAGTGAAAATGTAACACATTGGATATATTCATACATCGTGGATAATATATATATGTTAAAAATCGTTACAATGTTATAATTGAAAATAATAGTAATACTTTTGTATCGATTAGTTTATTAAACAAAATATTTCATGGTTAAATGGATATTAACCTTTTTACTTAATTTTTGTAACAAAATTTAAGAGATACTTTTTATTCTTTGCTTCAAAGCTCATAGAACACCCCGAGTATTTTTCATTACGAACTGTTTACTACTACAAGTATTCGTATATTGTTACGTTTCTTTTAAAGTGCACTGATTCGTACTTTCATTTTTGGGGCCAGCTGTGAATCAAGTGAACCGGTTGACACATATCTCAGAATTTTTTATTACTGTGACCATGAAAATCCTGGAGGGAAGCGCATTTAACCGTTTGCATGTTTTAAAGTATCAATACACGTATAAATGCTTGCGCACTCACATTCAAGCAGAAGAAACGCATGTTCGAGAAGGAACTCGAGTTCACCACCCTTTGAAGCGGGGTGCCCCGCTTGTCTCCTAGGTTACTTAATTTTTTTAACTGAAATGGGCTATAAGCAAGAAACAATAACTTATCTCCACCTTTTTTCAACGTTCGGTGAAAGTTGCACGAAAAAGAACATTAGGCGAGAATGCTAAAGTATTCTTTTTCTGATAACTTTCATTCCTTCATAGGATACATTCTCTCGATAACAAGGGTTGATTTGAAAATATCATTTATAAAATTTTTAATACATAAAGAGATACACGCCTACAATGTGGTACGGATGTGTGAAACCATCTACAGAAGGGAATGGGGGCTCATTTGAAAGCATAGAGGGTGGATCTCTCTTTAAATTGAATGAGTGAAAACCAGAAGGGGTTTATGTGACGTTTTATAAATTCTGAGAAATCTGTTTCAGGTCAATATTACTGTAAAGTGCGTCGTTTCATCATTTCAACCAAATGTTCATTAACACCACGAAAATACATCTCCACTAAAATACAGCCTAAAATAAACTCATTTTCTCAGAATCTATAAACTGTAACGTATCCCTTTCTGGTGAGCCCCACCCCCTACGTCGGGAAGGGGAGGGGAGATTTTCCAAGGTTGTTTGGCAATCCGCAATGCGCTGAGGCATGAGGGGTTGCAGCGCAGCGGGGGATGGCCGGGGCAGGGGCGGCTCGGTGAGTTCGGGCCGGGGGAAGAGAACGGGCGGG